AGTGCTTCTAGCCATTTATCGGCCACGAGCAGCTTTGTCAGCTACAAATGAGATGTTGGCTGTTGGCTAACTGCTTGCGTCTCATTTGTGTCCATTTTGCTGTTGGCTTACTTGGCGGCTAATAAGCCGCTTTTGGTCGCACTTTAAATGCAATGGCTAGCGTGTGCGAGGCATTAACTGAGAGAGAGAGAGAGAGAGAGAGAGAGAGAGATAGAGAGCGAGGGGAGTAAACTGAGACACTGGCATAGGTCGCGCATGGGGCAGAGCTAAAGAGTCGAGTGTGCAGCGTGCGTGCAACATTTGGTAATTTAATCCGATTTACAATAAATTAAATGCGATTTATATGCACAGAGCGACACATCCGGAAGATAACAACAACAGCAACAACTGCAGCAAAAACAACAACAATGACAATGACAACAGCAACGGCAGACAATAATAACTTGCTATAACAGCAACAACAACAACAACAACAACAACAACAGCAACAACAGCATAGGCACTTTAACCATTTGGCGCTTGTGTCCATTGTTGGCCCGTTGGGCGCCGTCGGGTGTGGGGCGTGGCAGCAACAATATGACAACAATACGATTGCGATTGCGATTGCGTGTGTGCGCTATCTGAACAGAGCGCAGCTCGCCCGCTGGCGTCCTGTTCGCAAGGCAGCCAAGGCACAAGCAAAAAATCGCAACAACGAGTTCATTACGCATCCTGCTCCACATGGATATGAACTACGCTGGCAGCGCACCGCCCACCCCCTCCTCAAGCCACAGTGCCCACGCATCCTGCATAGCCATATGCACAGACATATATATGTACATATATAGCATATTCAGATATGTATGTGGTTTGGCCTGGCTTGGCACTTTCCATATGGCACGAGTTGCGCTTTTCTTTCACCTTTTCTTTTTTGTATTCTGTTTTCCGCTGCTTCTTTTTGCGCACTGACCAAGCACGAGATTATGAATTTTCATTATAACAAACCACTCACACCCGCACACACACACACACATACATAATCATTATCGCACTCATTGGGGAAAATATATGCTCAGTGGCTGCAATTCCTATTCACAATGGCATCTGACTTAGCTCTGCTGTCCCATGGAGCTGGCCATGAAGCTGGAGCTGGAGCTGGAGCTGGCGCTGGCGCTGGAGCTGCTCTGATTCATTTCATTGGCATATCAGTTACCAGCACCAAGTACCTTTTCACATCCAGTTGACTCATTGCCGCAAAGGACGACCCAAATAGCCGCATTGAATCACAATTCTGCAGAGCTAACAAAGAGCCGCAGTTGTCAGTCGCTGGGAGCAGCTGCTTCTACTGCACCAAAAAATACAACAAAATGAAACACCATAAAAATGTCTGAAATTTGCAATGATGAAACATTTCTGTTGCAGTCAATGCTAAAGCAACCACAACAACAACAACAACAACTGTTGCTTTCGCTCTGCTGTGTGAAAGGGATTTTTGTTGAAAAATTGTCTCTTAATTAGGACAGCATGTGAATGAATCACGGCCAATGCTAATCGAAGCCAACCAACTGCATCAAAGTTCCATTCCATTCATTAAGCGCAGTTGCAGTCGGATTTGGATGTAGCTTTTGACTTTAAATGAGAATAATTCTATTTCATATATGCATATTTTATAATAGCAAAAAAATTGTTAATATATGTATAATTATACAAAAAATTAAAATATAAACAGCTTGATAGCACTTTATACTATACATTATAATTAAAGTTAGTTTCAGTTTTGTATTAATTGTAATATATAGTAAATAAATAA